TCGAACTTAGGCTGACCAATATGCTCAACAGTGATGGAACCAAAGAGGTTCCCTAACAATGCAGCATCAGGAACAGCCAAACCTTCTACAAGCCCAGCCACCAATCCTCCGAGGAAACTGTCTCCAGCTCCGGTAGGATCCACCTGCTTCGCCGTGAACGGAGGTATCACCGTTTCCTCATCCTTATGATAAATCCTACAACCTTTCTCACCATTAGTCACCACCACACAACACAATTGCTTCATTTGTTCAACATCCATGAAAAGAGCTTCGTCTGATGAAGCTTTCAAGAATCCGATTCTATGCAAGATATGATGAAACCCACTCTCTTTTAGATTCACGAGCTTCACGGCTCCATCAACAGGATCAAAAACCCTAATCAAAGCTTGAATATCCACAGCAACTACGCCGCAGGTCTCCACCATCTTCTCGAGCGTCTCCGGTAGAATCTCGCCGCCGACTCCAACAGCCATACCGAAATCGAATCTCGAATCGGGGATATCCGAAGGTAAAATCGGATCACATGCAGAAACCCGTTTCAATACCCGATCAGCGTTACCGATCCCGTCGATTCCCAGATCAAAATACGCCTCGAAAACCGTGGTTTCCTTCTCCGTAACCACGATCGGGGCATGGGAAACCTCGTATCTGAAGTCGTGACCGACTTTGGAGACTAAATCGCAGGAGACGGAGGAAGAATCAAGGACATTAGAGATGAAAGAGGCGGCGCCGCCGAGGGTTTCAGCCACGACGGATCCGTTTTGGATGAGAACGTCGTGGCAATAATTCCCGACGATGAGAACACGGGAGCGGTTGGAAATCCGACGCGGCGAGTGAGGTGTTTGCTGCGACGGAGGAGGATTCTTCGTCATGATGGTGGTTGGTGCAAAGGGTCATCGAGAAGGCGAAGCTTCTTAAGGTATCATGGAATGAATAAACGAAGACGAAGTAGAAGACTACTAGTAGCAAGAAGAAGGAGTCTATGAGCGATCCGAGAAAGAGACAAAGATTAATGGCTATAAGCCAATACGTAACGTCTTGAGATTCGTTCCTCTCTCTGTCTATATGATGTGTCGCGAGGAAGATGACGCGCGCCTTATAAAGCTCATTTTTTTGTTATCAAATACCGAACTTTTCATAAGAGTGATTATTAAGAGAAATGAATATTTTGTCCTTTAATTTTTCTTCTTTCAAATTCCTTACTTTTTCTCCACTTAATAGAGCGTAATTTGTCAACTATCACTTACGAAAACAAGATTCAAAGCAGCTTTGATGCTCCACTACTGTTGTCGGGAAGAAAATAATAACCAAACATAAACGAAATTCATTTATTTATGAGAGAATCAAATTGCTTAAAGACGTTTAATCATACAGGCTAGAGTCTTGGCTATTTACTTATGAGCCATGAGACATTTTGTTAAGTCAAGAAGGGTAGCTTTCGAGTTTACAATGGATACACTAAAGAAAACAAGAGTAGGAACATATCTAGTCAGAACGAATACCTCCCATGAAGCTCCTTGGATCTGGACAATTACCCGTGAACTGAGCTTGCGAAAAGTCGAATCCTGGGTTCTGCAAAAACCGATGAGGCAAAACATGTAAAAAGAAAATTGATTGGAAGAGATAAAAAGAAAAGCATACTTGAGCTCAATACAAAGTATATAAAAAGGCATGGATACAAGTAGCACGAAAACAATAAGACAAAGCCGTTAAGGCACACATGGATCAGACCCATGTGTTCAGTCTGGCCATGTTAACTAAGCTCAATGCATTACCAAATCGTTAAGAATCCGGTTAGACTAAAAGTGAGCAATTTCAGCCACCACAGCTTACACTATAGGTTCTATCACCAGCTCTATGCAAACTGTTTATCCATGAACATAAGAGAATCACTACTTGACAGAGACACAGAGACACAAGCAACAAAATATAAAACTTGCCTAAAGAAAATAACCATATTTGACATAGATTCATTCTATCCAGTAGATAGTGCCCAAGATTTGCTTCAGAGATCAATTAGAGGACCAAGATAGCCTTCAACAAGAAAGAAAACAACAAAAAGCGGAAACCAATATTAAAGCAAGAAGACTTTGTGCATAGCTAACCTCTTCTTGAAACCTCTGCAGCATGAGCCTCTTCTGCTCTAGATCAGTGGCATAAGGATCTAACTGACCTTGTCCAAGAATCGGAGATGCCCATGTCTGCCCTTTCTCCCTCTTTTGCAGGGTAATGTGCATTATATCATCCTCTGCCAAATCAAACATAAAAAGTTCAGATTAGCAACCAATGCCAGACTATGAACCTAAACAATTAAAAAGCTATTTCAGTTACTTAACATATGTTGATAGTAACCGAAAACATACGGTATATTTAGAAACAAACAAAAAAAAAGATTGATGTAGAGAGTGGATAGAATCAGATCATTTGAACACTCTTAGATCGCTGCAACCAGTAACTCCATACTCAAATATCCAAATACGCATAGTTTAACAACATTCCATCATCTATCGTATACTCCCATTCCAGATCACATTTCCAGGTTCAAATTATCCTCTCTAACCATGGAACAGATTGAAAACACAACTACAAAGAGAAACCTAACCATCAAGTGAAAAACAAGAGTCCAATACAGACACACAAAAAAAGGTAAAATGGAGTACCTAGGGTCCAGAACGAGCAATCTGTCTTCACTGGGGCACTAAGATCATGCTGAAAATCAACAAATTTTAGTAAAAATCGAGTCGAGATATATATTACATCGAATCGAAAAAGATAGTTGAAGAAACTGACATTGAGATAAGGAGGGTTGCCTTTGATGCCAACTTCGACATGTTTAGACTGGATTTTGCAGTGGAAAGACTTTGGATGAACATTGGGAGGCAAATTGATGTACAAATTCACTTCTTCTAGGGTTTGATCCCACTCAAACACCTTTTGCCCTATAACAATCGGAAATCGAAGAACATAAAAATCGATCGAATCTCGTGAACGAAATCAGACTGCAATAACAGAAATAGATAGAGGGATAGAAAGAGAGAAACCATTGTGAACGAAATCATGTCGCTTCTCTGGCGCGAGCTTCTCCGCCATATCTAGGGTTTGCTTCTCCGTTCCCGGAGAAATCGATCTCCGTCGGTGATATACGAAACTTTGTATTTTATTTTAGTTGTCAAGGTTTCTCTTTCTTCCATTGGTCTCAAAATTACAGAGAGG